TCTGCTTTTCCTCCCATGCTGAACCCAGTCATTGGTGGAGAGAAAGAACAAGATTTTCCCTTAATTTTATGGTGAAAATAAATAAAGGATGTAATAGCAGAATCATGGTAATAAGAAAAATCATAATAAATTGTTGAATGACAACATGAAATTATTATATAATGCAATAAGATACTATGTATACACAACTTTATAATAACACGTTGTAATACAATAATAACGTCACTGTAATTAACATTAAGAGTTGGATTGATTACGAAAGAGGCCGGGCCAGAGAATCGGAGAGTCAAGCGAGTGAGTTTTTAAGAGTTAGGAGATCGATTACAGTGAACCAAAACAGTAAAGTTGTGGCCGGACAGCTGAACAATCGGCTCAAACTCTTCAGGCGATGATTATGAGATTCTATGTTGCTCATAGTTATGTTCATCAGCAGGGGCATGGTCATTGACATTGTTAGTTAAGATATCATTACTATAAGGGTATGCTCTAGTGAATTGGAGTTAAGATGGATACAAACTGTTGTAATGTCTAATGATGAGTTGCTCACATACAATAGACACAGGGGGAAAGAGCTTCTCTGAGTTGCCACTCCTGTTGGAACAGTTAAGATAAGATAATCCTTTAAAGCTTGACAGAGCTCTGCCTCCAGAGAAAGAGACGCAACGAGGTGCTGGTGCTGAGCTCAGAAGAGGTAACTTTACGATATATACAACTGAGATGTAGATACCTTTACAATGAACTTATTCAACTCAGCACTCGGGGAAAACATCACGTTTGTGCGTCCTGCATATTTTGTAATAAGTGGTTTATCCGGCATCCAGGAGATGAAACATTACTACGTCTTTCTCTGTTTTGTTTATATTGTTTCAGTGCTTGGAAATACAGTTGTGATGGCAGTAATATACTTGGATCATAATCTGAGAACTCCTAAATATATTGCAGTTTTTAACTTAGCATTTGTGGACTTGTTGGGTAGCTCTACTCTGATGCCGAAGCTTCTTGACATCTTTCTGTTTAACCATCGCTACATCTCCTACAACGACTGCTTGACTTTCCTTTTTTTCAGCTACACCTTCCTTTGCATGCAGTCATTTAATCTTCTTGCACTCTCCTATGACAGATTAATTGCCATCATCCACCCTCTGCACTATCAAGTGAGGGTGACTCACAGGTTCATGCTGTCTTTGATTGCCTTTTTCTGGGTGTTTGCTACAACTGCTGTACTAATTGCAGTTGGTCTTATTACCAGACTTTCCTTCTGCAGGTCTGTGGCTATTAACAGTTATTTCTGTGACCATGGTCAGATATACAGGCTGGCCTGCAATGACAATTTTCCCAACTATGTTCTTAGTTGTCTGTTCCCTGTTCTTATTTTTTGGCTTCCATTCATTTTTATTTTGTTAAGTTATCTATATATTGGCTGTACTTTGGCTAAAGTGGCAACTGTTCAGGAAGGTCTGAAAGCTTTTAGAACATGCACAGCTCATCTCTCATTGGTGGCAATATATTTCATTCCAGTGTTAATCACATTTACTCTGATGGAAAAAATCAATCCAAATGCCAGGATCATGAACTTGTCTTTGACTTCTATTCTTCCTCCCACATTGAACCCAATCATTTATGTCCTGCAGACACAAGAAATCAAAAAATCTGTTAAAAAGTTATTGAAAATCAGAAGAAAATCCAAAATGATAAAGAAATGCACCCCTAACATGACTCATTCGCTGTAAATCATTTATGATGTCATACATTTTTTTTAAATTGATTATGAATTGTGAGACCAATCATTGAGGTAATCAACACAATCAAAATCAACTTGTTTCTCTACAAAGACATCAAATGTAATGAAAGAAAATGTAGATACCTGTAAAAAGTGGATTAAATAATTGTACAGATCTTTGTTTTATTGTTTTTTTTTATATGCTGGTAATTATTAATTATCTGGTTAATGTTTTTGTTTTTTAGATTACAGAATAAAAAATCTGAAATTATTATTATTATTTGTTTTTTTCAACCCAGTCTCACAGCAAAATGTGTAATACGGTGGTCCAGCGTAGTATTGTCCTGATTCCTCCACAAAATTGTGAAAATACTATGTTTCATTTGGCCCATTTATTTACATTGCCTTGCAACAAGGTCACTAGAAACTAATAAACGGAAGGTCTTCTACATTCTCTGATAGAAGATTATGGAAATATAACGCATACTAGAAATGCCATCGAAATGCATACAAATGCTGATGCTTTCTTAAAATATTGTGTTTTTCACAGATAACAGACAGTCCGCCATTTTCTTTTTTTATCTGAGGGAAACCTGATAGTCACGTGACCTAGTTGCAAATAAAATGTAGTATTGTCACAATTTTGAGGAGAAATTGTGACAATACTACGTTGGACCAACGTCGCTATTACACATTTTGCTGTGAGACTGGGTTGTTTTTTTGCATCACGATTAATTTAGAATGTCATTTTGTATCTGCTACTGACTGTATTAAAACATGCTTCCTGATCTGTGAGACTGAATTCAATTATAATTCTTTTAGCTTCAACCAACCATCCAATTTGAATTTTTAATAAAAAATATCAAAGATTAGAATAAAAAAGAAATAATAAATAAAATACCCACTTAATAACAACTTGTCAACGCGGTGTCTGTGTGTGTGTAGTGTGGACTGGATGACGTGTCTCTGCTTCCTCAGTACAAATGGTGAAGCCAAAATATTTCCGTATGTTTTAAGATTGTCTTCTACTACAGAGAATCGTGATGTTAGTAAAAGTTCAAGGTACATTCCATCTATTCAGTAATTAATTTACAAATAATTGCAGAGCATTTAGCTCTACAACTAGGTTACCTAAAGAAGGGAATAACAGGATCAATCATCACGTCTCATCCTCTTTTATGGAATAAAATGCCTAATTTATACAATATGAAATCAGCACTAGAACATAGACAAGATAAGAACTACCTTAATTATTATTATTATCAGAAGTATATTTGACCTCTTTAGTTTGGCAGTGTGCAATTTAAGACCTCTGCTACTGCCAGACCCCAAGGGGCAATCAATATTTTTGGGCTTCACTTTTTTCGGATCTGTCATGTCGTCCATCTTTACATGTGGTCCATGGTGTATACGAGGGGAGAGTCCATATATTGCGTGTAAGAAGCAGGCACAGACATTGTGACGTTACACATTGATGCCCCTGCGCTTTGGCTTTTACTATATTGTATTACGACCTCCCTCATTTTAACGTTTTGTAACCAGTGGATGGAAGAGGAAGGTTTTGGACTACTGTCATACTATAATCCCTTTTCTAGTATTACATTACAGCTGTCACGGTGTGGTTCACTTCCTGTTGTATTTTGTAGTTTTCTGCCACTCGTGTCCCCGGGTAACTTCACTTCCTGCCTTGTCCCGTCATCCCCTGTGATCGTCTAATAGTTTCCACCTGTGTCCAATCACCTGCACCTCCCTTGTGTATTTAAGCCGTGTGTCTCTTGTGTCACTTGTGTTCCCCCCCCCGGCTCCTGTGTGTTTTTGGGCTTTTGACTATTAAGGTCTTTTGTTTTACGGGGGGGGTCTGCGTTTGAGTCCTGCCTCCTCCACGCATCCTTGACAACAGCAGCGGTTCCAAAACTCAAGAATGCTGCGGCCCAATTTGTAATCTGAAAATCTTTTGCGGCCCACCCAAACCTTTAATCACAGCTCTGATCAAAACATAAACTCGGGATGATTAAATGACCTTAAGAATTTAACTGATTAAAAATGTATTAACTGACAATTTATGTTTTGTATAGCATTTTCTCTGGAGCTCATATATATTTACTTTAATACTACAAGAGGGCGCCCCATTTGACATTGTTTTGTTTGGGGGCGCCTTTTGTTGAATAACGACAGGCGGACAAGAGCAGCCGTTTCGAGCGAATGGCTCAAAAGTAGGTCAGATAAAAGAATAACACGTAATCTAAATCATAAATATTTTTATATTAATTTCAAACTTTTCAAAATTGAAAATTAAAAACATTTAATTTATTTATTGTTTATTTTATTTATTGCCCACCTCCAGTACCAATTCGCGCTCCACACTTTGGGAATTGCTGCATTACAGTATAACCCAAATGCTTGGATGTTCTACCGGGCTTTTTCATATCAGAATTCTGCTGCAACATTTTTATTGTGAACTTATGGAAAGTTTGACTGAGAAATGCTGCACCTGAAGCATAAATAAACTATTCAGGTGGCGGGCGCACCTGTGAAACTGACCTGCGAAACTGAGATGATGAGACACACCTGGTGCATATCTGCACTCTACTGAGAGCACTTTTCTAGATTATTCTTTTTGCTATACTGATTATACACAGCAAATTTCAGAGAGTCAAATTGACTCTGTGAGATTAAATTTGAACTCTAAGCTGGTGTTTATATTGGCCCAATCTTGTCAGTGTTAAATCAACCCTCAACACTCAAGTGTTAACAATTATACAAGTGTTAAATACGTGTCACAAATAAATCTGATCAGTGTTAAATACAGTCTGTAGAGTTAAAAACCCAAGTTCTTGACACTGAATAATGACTACAGCTCTTTCGTACAATTGACTCTGTAACAGTTGATTCAACTTTTTGCAGTAGGATTTCAACTCTGCGCGTCAACACTTTTGCCTAACACCGGAAAATGAACACAGACTTTTTCTGTGTAGATGCAAACAAACATATTTTCTTATCATGGTAATCAGTTATCCTGGCGACTTAAGTTAACTGAGTCAACTGCATCAACCCATTAAATTACCAAACTATGAGACAGTCACTCCTTGACTGAACATGTGACGCCGCCACTTGTGTTTCAAAGTGGGATATAAATGACGCGTCTCTCACAGCTCAACTCACTCTGGTGACCTGCACACTTGATGCTGCGTGAGTTTGGTTTCAGTAGTTTCTATCTGCCGTTGCATACTCTTATTCATCTTGTTTTCTCTTTCTATATCCAGGAAAAAATATACTCATAATGACTCTGGAGGAGAAAGCTGTTTCCAATTTTAATGACACATTTGTTCGCCCGGCCAAATTCTATCTCAGTGGTTTTTCCAACGTCCCTCACATTAAGTATTACTATGTCTTCCTCTGTTTCTCCTATATCATAACTGTTCTTGGAAATACCTTCCTTCTGTCAATCATTTACCTTGTCAAGACTCTTCATACTCCCAAATACTTGATTGTCGTTAACCTGGCTTTTACAGATTTGTGTGGGAGCACTGCTCTCATCCCAAAGCTCCTAGACACACTGGTGTTTGACAGGAGATACATGGCCTATGAGGCTTGTTTGAGTCAAATGTTCTTTATTCTTTTCTTTGTATGTATTCAGTCATGGACACTTGTCACAATGGCATACGACCGATTCATAGCCATCTGCTTTCCTTTGAGATACCACAGTATTGTGACTAAGCCAGTTATTGCTTCCATGCTGCTTTTTTTGTGGGCTTTCTTTTTCCTTCTACTTGTATTTATTGTCAGGTCTATTGACCGCCTCTCCTTTTGCAGGTCTTTGGTGGTAAACAGCATTTACTGTGATCATGCTCCAGTGTTTCTTCTGGCCTGTAATGACATTTCTTTTAATTACATAATGGCGTACGTTGCTTTTGTTCTAGTCCTCTGTATTCCTTTAATAATAATAGCATTGACATATGTTTGCATTTCCGTAGCGCTGAGCAGGATCGTAACAAGAGAAGAAAGACTCAAAGCGTCCAAAACTTGTACTTCTCATCTGATTCTTGTGGCTATTTTCTTCCTACCGATTATGGGCACCAACATAGCATCAGTGACCTCCTACATCCATCCTAATGCAAGGATCATAAACTCATCTATGACACACGTCATACCAGCTCTGCTCAATCCTATTATATACTCTTTAAAAACAGAAGAAGTGATGATCTCTATCAAGAAGATTTGTAAAAGAAGCAGGATCAACAACACGACAAAATGGTGAACTCTTTATCACTGCTATAATGAAACATGTAGGAGTGTTAAAATAAATATTTATGACCTTTCTCTATTTACCTGTCATTCAGAGGCACTATTATTCTACTTTGATGAAAGATTAAGAGTGGTGATGTTTTATTTACTGTACATTGCAATGTGACCAAACCACATCAGTTGTTTGTATTTCATATTACTTCAGTAGCAATATTATACAACAATCTCCTATTCAAAACATCATCAAGGTGTTTATTCTGTAATAAATGGTGAGAGAGTTTACACATCCTTTCGGTTGGGCACTCATAGAGACATTTGGTAAGTCTACATAAACATGAAATTTAGTTTGGAATCTTATCTTGAGTTTGATCTGTTACAGTGATCAGACGTTTTGCTATTTTCAAGCAAAGATTCATATCATTTGACAGGATGACTTTCAGACCGTTACGCGGTCAGCAGATATTAAGACAAACTTAAACGTAACTTAAAATTCATGATCTACACCTGCTATTAATTCATGTTTTTATTGTGTATTTTATTCTTCCTTCTTTAATGCATCTTTAATATATTAAAATTGTTCTCATACATTTTTGCATGTTTTACAGTGTATTATTTATGTTTTCTTTTGATCGTTGTTTGTGAAAAACACAACATAGATAAATTGTTCTGACTTATATACACACTTTGAGGACTGTGGCTGTGTTGCCAAATATTTTTTTAATATAGGAAATCATAAAATAAAGGTTTGAAAAAATCCCTGTAGTGCATAAAAAAGGTAACCACATCTAAATGGAAATTATTTTTTTAGAAAAAATCTTGGAAAAGGATGACAAATTATTATGATGTAATCACTTTGATAAAAAAACAGGCAGTCAAAACTCTAGGTTGAAAATCAAACACGCAGGACTCTGCAATTATAGGTAGTAGGCTTGCACCATCTAGTGGTTTGTACTTGGAGTATATGAGAATAATGGATTTCAGTTGAAATCCACTGTATACACACAAAAGAGACACAGGACGTGTTGCTGTTTATATCACGACCGTATTTCGTTGCCAGTGGCCATACAGCTACGCTTTGGGGAACCACAGTAAAGGCTAACAAGTTAAGCATAAGTGCTTGGTCTTAAACGGCGGTAAAATGGCTGAAGATAAGATTATTTATGTTGTACGCACTTTCAGATGGATGAAAATATACCAAGGGTCTATGCTTTTGCAGTGGCTTCCGACAACAGAGCGAATGCAGAACGGTATCAGATTTATCTTTCATGTGTAAAGTCAGAGATTCCATTTTGATGTGTTATCCCAGCATAGTATTGATGTTTGTTGAGCTTGTACTGTTCACTGCTGAGTGACATGAAACCCACAGCAAAGTAGAGGGATATTATTTTGCGTTGTTGGAGCCACAGTGAGTGCTAACATTCATTTTGCCTTTAAAGTATGCTGAAATGAAGTAGTCCAACAGATGATATTCACAAGTAAGCATATACTCTTGAACTAGACACAATAATTGACAATACAGTTTTATGAACGACCAGAAGGCCAACTGTTGTACATTAATAACTGTTGTACAAGTGCTATTGCAATGCACGCATACATCCACCAGAGGGCAGGCAATGATCATAATACTATTATTTAATGTTGTAGTTCCCACAACCGAATTGAGTCTCCAACCCCCCAGAACAATCTGGGAGGGATTCCTACCACACACACACACACACACACACACACACACACACACACACGCACACAAACACAGTGTTTTGTTTTTTTAAACCCTGGAGGGTGTCAATCGTGTTCCGAGAATTGTGGATTTTCTGATTGAAATCTCCCGACATTCAGTTGACTCTCAACAACAGTTAACACAAAATATTTTAAGGCAAACGATGCCATTTGTACTAGCGGTTTAGTGAAATAACAATTCTCCAGTCTTCATTATGTTATTTTTGTTTTTCTTCACAACCGTATGGACATGACCAGAAAATGGTGGTTATTGACTTTCACACAAACAATACACATAAAATAAGTAATGACTGAATGACTTCACTTAAACCAAAACTTTTACTGTTGGATTCCATCCTGATGGATGTGCGCATTAATATTGTTCTTGTGAAGCTGATAATACATTGAAACTGCCCCATCTTACAAAGCGCCATAAGTGAATGATAAGAAGTTTTAGCTTTGCTTGTTCTAGCTTCCTTAAAATGAGAGACAATTCTTTCCCCGAACAAAAATCAGAGAACACAGAGATTAAATTGCAAACATTTAATGCACAAAATCTTAAAGTACAATCAACAAACAATCTGTCAAGTAGGAATTAATATAAATTTTAGATTTGGCCAACTGAATGTGTTTTTAGAGTCATTAAGCAATATTAAAAGTAACTGACACCAAAAAAAGGCAGAGGACAAATTATTCTTGCCATGAACTGCCGTGCCATTTATTAGTTATTGAATTGTTGGGCGGATAATTGTACTATGAATTACTGTGCATTTAATGTGCTATAGAGCTGACGTGTTGTGCACTTTGGGGTGCTGTGTTGTTGGAGTGGGTATAGTAGCCTGGCTAAAATCATGGTCATGTATGTGAGGGCACGGGCTAAACCAATAACTCCTCCTGCCCAGAAGTCAATGCTCCCTTTATTGGTAAGAATTATTATAATAAGGGTTTTTCCAAATCCTTCAGTCTGGTGATTGTGCTCCCCGGAGATCTAAACTAAAAGGGCAAAGTTAGGAGCCCTACACGACACATGTGCTTTCATTGCAGGAGCTATGTGTGGCGGATGTACCACCAGTGTGCATTTATCATTGGTGAGACAAAACAAAGTTGTTCTAATGAATACAAATACAACTTAACGCTTACATTTGAAATAAATAATCTCCAATACACCTATTAACTAACGTAAGATTGGTCGCAAGAAAAAAGACAATCTGAATCTCCTCTGGTGCTTTTTTTTCATAAATCAGGTGACAAGTCTTAAATTCAACCTCCTCTGACTGACTAAATATCTCATTTTGTTGTCGTAAAGTTTATGATTTATAAACACGTAGGTCTTTTTTGGGATTTAAATCACTGTTATGTCCTCTTTTTGGGACTGTGTAGGTGGCATGGGGGGGGACGAACACAGGACAGTCAAACATTATGTGAAGAGACAAAAGTTACGGTTACGGAGTAGCGGTTTTTAAATAAGATTTATTTACACATGTTTAACAAAACAAATACAAAGCTTCTATTAAGTGGGAGAGGTTGCGACAGTTGTGGCTGTGCCAAACAAATTAAGATAACAAAATCAGGCCTAGCTAACTACCTCTGGGAAAGAAACAAACAAAATGGCTTCCCTTAATTCTCTAATACCGCCCACCAAAATACAGAGGGAGCACCAACTAATAACCTAATGCTTCAAGACACAAAGTACCTACGGGAGTGTACAAATGTACAGGGCACTCCAGACTTGCCTACTGTGCTCAACCTCTCACCACAAACCTGCACGTCGTGTGGTGTGGTGGCAGTGCGTGCATTACAACGAAAAGGACGCCATTCTCAGAACTTTTCAATCTTCCTTTTAACAGCAAGGCCCACTCAGGTGATTGGCCTGCTCCCTTCAGGAACGCAGGTGCAGCCAGATTGGCACCTGAAGGGGAAAACAGACAGTACTGACACGTAACTGACTTAAATTCAGTTTTAATTTAGATTACCTTTGTTGTTGTGACGTCCTCCGGGCTTTGTGACTAACTTTGTCATTTCTCACGAAGAAAACATTAACTAAATACTTAGTGCTCTTTGGAGTCGCTTGGCATATGTCACAACAAAAAATTATTGTTCTTTAAGATTTTATTAAATAAATAACACACTAGTGACCAAAATATGTACTGACTGCATGCAAATGCTCTCTGGTGGTCAGATAGAAATTGATACAAACAGTATCTGCTAAGTTTCTATTGGTTGATGAATCACAAATTGTCTTTTCACTAGAAACACACTCAATAGTCTACGTCAGGATTCTTTTTCCTGCGGATCATACTTCACATATATGGACATGAATTAACTTTATTTTCTGAACAAAAATGAGGTCATGTACATTCTTTGCAGAGGGTGTTGATTAAAATATCCAGATGGGACACTTCAAGATTAGTTTCAGTTTTAGGGGTTAAGTAGACAATTCTTAGTAATTTTCAAGCTGTAAAAGCTACATGTGGATCCTGTGTTTAAGTCCGTTCTCCTCAGTGTTCCCATTAACAATAGTTCTTCCTGCAGTAATAGTCTGAGGGCCTTGACCCGGGTATTGTTGTATCCGTAGCAGAGACAAATTATTTGAGTATAGGTTGTGTTTAGGTTAAGTTAAAGGGTAACAGACTAGGACAGAACATGTGTAAAGTCACAGCGGCTTCATTAAACCTGTTCCAATGAAAAACAATGTGGGAACAAAAACACCCATGTTGTTAGAGCCTGAAAGACTTTTTAACCCTCAAAGGTTTCCTCTTACGTTGGTCCGTGCCGATGACATTTCTTCTCACAAGGGCCACGGCTCTCATTTTGATCTCTTTGGTTTTCAAAGAATAGACTATTGGATTGATGCAGGGTGGGATGCAAGAGGCCAGCGACAGGCTAAGCACACGCTGGTCCGGGTCAGTCAGACGCAGAAAAAACCCAAGAGTGAAAATAGTGATGATAGGAACATAAAATACAGCAACAAGGATGACATGCTCACCACAAGTGGCAAGAGCTTTAACTCGACTTTCCAAAGATCTCATTCTAAACACTGTCACCAGGATAGTGACATAAGACAGGATGATAAAAACAAAGGGTCCTCCGAGTATCATGAAGGAGAGAAAAGAGGCTGCAGACCACTGCATTGTGTAATCGTTACAGGCAAGTCTGAACACAGGTGCATAGTCACAGAAATAGCTGAACACTCTGACAGATTTACAAAATGAGAGTTGAGTCAATATACCTGTTGAAAATGCTGTTACTCCCACAGAAAAAGACCAAGTAAAGCCAATAATACAAGACATGCTCTGCAAAGTGTTGACTGAGTTGTGACGTAAAGGGAAACATATTGCAATCAACCTGTCGTAGGCAAGTATAGCAAGTGCAAATGACTCCATAGATGCAAAACAATAGTAGGAGAACATTTGTACCAAACACAAGTTGAATGGAATGAAATTGTCCTTAACAAGGAATATCTTTACCATGCCAGGAATAGTAGTCGTGTTGAGGACTATATCAATTACTGCGAGGTTGATCACAGCCAGAAATTTTGGAGAATGTAAGCAGTGATTGAAAGCAATGACATAGATCACCAAACTGTTGAACATCACTGTAACCACGTAAACAAACAATAGAAAGATGAAGTAGACACTAATGAAGGGTAATGTCTCAAATCCGACTATGTAGAAGCCTGGAGGACGAATGATGAGAGAGTTGTTTAAAGAAGTCCTGAGAAAAGTCATAGTTGAACTGGAGGAAAGCCTCTGCTTAAAAGCTCCACAGTCTACAGAACAGTGAAATCAAGTTATTACACATAAAACCAGTGACGACACAACACTTCACTAAGCACATGACAACATAGCAGTATGCAACACGTATTCCAGTAAGTTCACATATATCTACATGTGCTAAAAACAATCAGCATAAGCGTCGTACCTGATGTTCTCTCAGTGGTTGTTCAGCAGCAGCTTGATTTGATGCTGAGTCTAAGAGCAACAAACCGATGTCTATGTGTCTGAACTGTGTACGGTGAAAAATATACGTTCCTCATTGATCTCTTGAGATAAAGCTTTCAGCTGTTGCTCAGGGGACATAATTTAACAAGACTCTATTGATGCAATAATTGATCCATCAAAACAAAACTGAGGGTTGTTTTCATTACTTGTGCCTCGTGCAACGCTCATTTTAAAATACAGATAGATTAAAGGTTATTCAGACAAAACAAAGTATACCGACTGCTTACACGATTTCTGGATCATGGATACAATGTTGCAGTAGCACTGAATACAATAACTTTATGCCATTAAACAAACATCTGCATAAATCAGAGGTCAGTTAAATAGTATCAATGTGACACAGAGCTCACAATGACGTCACTGACGGCACCACTCACTGATGGCTTCTGACACGGTTTAGTAGCAACAAGCATTTTTGAATTAATATGTCCCCGACTTAGACGGACCGAACTTCACTATTTACAAGAAGAAGCACTTAAAAAGTGCTTTGTGAAGCTTGTTTTTACGGATAAATTCATCATTAACGAGGCCATAGTTTGAGTCCAGAGAAATGATTATAGCACATGAAATGTGTGTTTCTATTACAGAAGTATAAGAATATACATGACATTTTGTGTACAGTGTTTGTGCAAAGTGGATCAACAGGAACAAACCCATGTGCTTTCATTGCAGTAGCTATGTGTGGCGTAATGTACCACCAGTGTGCGTTTATCATTGGTGAGATGGAACACAGTTGTTCTAATGAGCCCAGTTAATGATGCAATCACCAGTGGATGCTGTTTAATGACCTTTGCAGTGACAAACACATTTTTAACGCTTAAGTTTGAAATTAATAATGTCCAATGCACCTTTTAACTTACATAAGATTGGTCGCAAGAGAAAAGACAATCTGAATCTCCTCTGGTGCTTTTTTTTTCATAAATCAGGTGACAAATCTTAAATTCAACATCCTCTGAATGACTAAATATCTTATTTTGTTATCGCAAATTTTAGGATTGATTAATATGTAGGCCTTTTTTGCTGTTTAAATCACTGACTTAAATTTACAGTTTTAATTTAGCTTAGCTTTGTCATGACGTCTTCAGGGCTTTCTGACAAACTTTGTCATTTCTCTCAAAGAAAACGTTGACTGTCATCTAAATACTTAGTGCTCTTTGGAGTCACTAGCTCATGTTATAGTGGTGAAGCTTGGCATCGTTCATAGAAGATCACAGACACCTCATAGTGCTTCTAGAAAATGTAGATCGCATTTTAAATTTTGGTAGAGGGAGATATTTTTTTAATGTTATTTTGGACAGATAATCCTTTAACTGATGAGATAGATTTTTCTTAACTTGGTGCATTCAGTCACTGAGGCATATTGAAGGAGCAGGTTAAACAAGAATAATGATAGTGGGATGGAGTTTGTGAATGTCCATTGGACAATTTTTATCCACCTTAAATCTTACATTTACCTGATATTAATTTGAGCTTTGTTAAGTTATTTTGAAAGAAGGTTGAGATCTGAACTATTGACCAGAAATTTCTCACTGAGACAGTCAAGCCAAATACCACAAAGGGTGTCCAAACTGTTCATATATTGTTTACGCGGTTGGTTCACTTAAATCACTTTCTTTATAAAATATAAAATGAAATAAAAAGAACGTGGATCAAAATATCTTTCAACGGCAGATTACTATTCAAGTTCAAATAAAAACGTGAATATGAAAGAATCTCTCCCTCTCTCTTTCTCTCTCTATATATGTCACAAGAAAAAATGATTGTCATTTAAGATTCTGTTAAATGAACAATATACCAGTGACCACGATATGTACTGACTGCATGCAAATGCTATCTGGTGGACAAACTATAATGAGACAATGTTCTTAAATGACCTCTAACATGCTTTTAGCATTTCTGTACTCCCATTTCGCTTATCAGCAAATATAGAAATTGATGCAAACTGTGCTAAGTTTCTGTTGGTTGATGAATTACAAATTGTCTTTTCACTACAAACACACTTAATAGTCCAGGGCAAGATTATTTTTGCTGCGGATCATACTTCACATATATGGACATAAATTAACTTTATTTTCTGAACAAAAATGAAGTCATGTACATTCTTTGCAGAGGGTGATGATTAAAATATCCAGATGCGACACCTAAAGATTAGTTTTAGTTTTAGAGGTTAAGTAGACAATTCTAAGTTAATTTGAAGCTGTAAACGCTACATGTGGATCCTGTTTCAAAGTCCGTTCTCCTCAGTGTTCCCGTTAATAATAGTTCTTCCTGCAGTAATAGTCTAAGGGCCTTGACCCGGGTATTGTTGTATCGGTAGCAGAGACAAATTATTTGAGTATAGGTTGTGTTCAGGTTAAGTTAAAGGGTAACAGACTAGGACAGAACATGTGTAAAGTCACAGCGGCTTCATTAAACCTGTTCCAATGAAAAACAATGTGGGAACAAAAAGAGCCATCGCTTTTGACACCAAAAAAACGTTAGAGCCTGAAAGACTTTTCAACCCTCAAAGGTTTCCTCTTACGTTGGTCCGTGCCGATGACATTTCTTCTCAGAAGGGCCACGGCTCTCATTTTGATCTCTTTGGTTTTCAAAGAATAGACTATTGGATTGATGCAGGGTGGGATGCAAGAGGCCAGGGACAGGCTAAGCACACGCTGGTCCGGGTCAGTCAGACGCAGAAAAAACCCAAGAGTGAAAATAGTGATAATAGGAACATAAAATACAGCAACAAGGATGACATGCTCACCACAAGTGGCAAGAGCTTTAACTCGACTGTCCAAAGATCTCATTCTAAACACTGTCACCAGGATAGTGACATAAGACAGGATGATAAAAACAAAGGGTCCTCCGAGTATCATGAAGGAGAGAAAAGAGGCTGCAGACCACTGCATTGTGTAATCGTTACAGGCAAGTCTGAACACAGGTGCATAGTCACAGAAATAGCTGAACACTCTGACAGATTTACAAAATGAGAGTTGAGTCATTATACCTGTTGAAAATGCTGTTACTCCCACAGAAAAAGACCAAGTAAAGCCAATAATACAAGACATGCTCTGCAAAGTGTTGACTGAGTTGTGACGCAGAGGTAAACATATTGCAATCAACCTGTCGTAGGCAAGTATAGCAAGTGCAAATGACTCCAGACCTAAAGAACAATAGTAGGAGAACATTTGTACCAAACACAAGTTGAATGGAATGAAATTGTCCTTAACGAGGAATATCTTTACCATGCCAGGAATAGTAGTCGTGTTGAGGACTATATCAATTACTGCGAGGTTGATCACAGCCAGAAATTTTGGAGAATGTAAGCAGTGATTGAAAGCAATGACATAGATCACCAAACTGTTGAACATCACTGTAACCACGTAAACAAACGATAGAAAGATGAAGTAGACACTAATGAAGGGTAATGTCTCAAATCCGACTATGTGGAAGCCTGGAGGACGAATGATGAGAGAGTTGTTTAAAGAAGTCCTGAGAAAAGTCATAGTTGAACTGGAGGAAGGCCTCTGCTTAAAAGCTCCACAGTCTACAGAACAGTGAAATCAAGTTATTACACATTAAACCTCAACAGTGACAATAAAACACATGAATAAATGTTCTTCCTCTTGACTAAGCACATGAAAACATAGCAATATGCAACACCAGTAAGTTCACATATATCTACATGTGCTAAAAAACAATCAGCATAAGCGTCGTACCTGATGTTCTCTCAGTGGTTGTTCAGCAGCAGCTTGATTTGATGCTGAGTCTAAGAGCAACAAACCGATGTCCATGTGTCTGAACTGTGTACGGTGAAAAATATACGTTCCTCATTGATCTCTTGAGATAAAGCTTTCAGCTGTTGCTCATGGGACATAATTTAACAAGACTCTATTGATGCAATAATTGATCCATCAAAACAAAACTGAGGATTGTTTTGAATAATTAAGCAGTCGAGCCTCGTGCAACGCTCATTTTAAAATATGGAAAGGTTATCTAAACAAAACAAAGTACACCCGCTGCTCACACAATTTCTGGATCATGGATGTGTTTCTGCAGTGCACTAATAATTCTACAAATACAATAACTTTTTCATTAAACAAACATCTGCATAAATTAGAGGCCAGTCAATGTGAGAGCTTACAATGACGTCGCCACTCACTGATGGCTTCTGACATGGTTTAGTAGCAACAAAAATTGTTGAATAAATATGTCCCTGACTTAGACGGACTCAGATTTTTTTGGTACTTTACTATTTAAAAGTAGAAGCACTTTGTGAAGCTTTTTTATGGATACATACATCATTAACGAGGCCATAGTTTGAGTCCACAGAATGATTATAGCACATCAAATGTGTGTTTCTTTTACAGAAGTGTAGGCATATACATGACATTTTGTGAAAAATATTTGTACTAAGCGAATCAACGGGAACAAACCCATGTGCTTTCATTGCAGTAGCTATGTGTGGCGTGATGTACCACCATTGTGAGTTTATCATTGGTGAGACGGAACACAGTTGTTCTAATGAGCCCAGTTTATGATGCAATCACCAGTGGATGCTGCTTGGTAACCTTTGCAGTAACACAACCTTTAACGCTTAAATTTGAAATGAATAATCTCTAATGCACCTATTAACTAACTGTGGGGTCAAGACTCAGGCGCAGACCAAGAAGGCAAACACAAACGTCTGTCCAGGTTTAGAACTTTTTACTTGCAGAATCAATGGTACGAGACAAACAAAAAGGCAGCACAGGCACAAGCAGACTTCACACGCTCTCGAAATAAATTAAAAAAAAAAAAAAAGGAAAAAAGGGCCTGGCAATAAACAAACACCGGGAATACTTTACTACGGACATGCCACTCAGGATAGGACAAAATAACCTGACACTGAGGACTGGGGCTTAAATACAGGTGGAGGTAATTGCAAACTAAACGAGCGAGAAACAAAATACTGTTATACTCAGGAAAGCATCAACGGAAATCCCTGATGAGTGATGGGTCCATGATATTGCCTGCAGGTTCCCACGACCTCTCCTCTGGGGCATACCGCACCCAGTCCACTAAGGGTAGGCAACCCCTACCCTTCCGTCAGACTGCCAACAGTCGCCTCACGGTATGCACGGGACTCCCGTCGATGAGTCAGGGGTGCGGAGGGGTCTGGAGGATGGGACCAGTGGACTCTCCTCGACTGCTTGCCACGGGAAACATTGAACGTTGGGTGAATCCTTATGGTTTTGGGGAGGCGAAGACAGACAGCTGCCGGGTTGATCACCCTGATGATTGGATATGGGCCAATGTACTTCAGAGACTCCACCCGAAGAGGTAAGTCCTTTGTCCGGTTCATGGGGGGCAGGACTCTGATGTTGGTTATCCTGCCTCTGGTACTGCGCCGTTGTACAAATTAGGGCGCACCGCGCTTTTTTCAAGGTGCGGTAGCACCTGCGGACAAGGGCATGGGCCAAAGGAACCGAAACCTCCCCCTCCAGGTTGGGGCTGATAGCCATACACGCACTGGAAGGGCGAAAAACCTGTGGTAAGAAACGGACAATGAGTTATGGGCATATTCAATCAAAATGAGAGGCTTACTCCATGCCGTGGGGTTCTGCGGGACTATGCAACGTAATCCCGTCTCCATCTCCTCGTTGTATCGCTCTGTCCAGCCATTGGACTGGGGGTGATACCCAGATGATAGGCTGGCCGTGGCCCCAACCAGGGAGCAAAACTCCTTCCAAAAGTGCGACGTGAACTGCGGGCCACGGTCGGAAACAACGTCCTGCGGGAGACAGTGTAGCCAAAAAACGTTAGACAGGAGAGCCTCCGCAGTCTCCTTGGCGGAGGGTCATTTACTCAGGGGGATGAAGTGGGCAATCTTAGAAAACCGATCAATGACTGTATTACCTTCAGAGGCTGGGAGACCAGTGACAAAATCAATGGAGATATGGGACCATGGCCGCCGAGGGGTGGGAAAAGGCTGGAGTAAGCTGGGCGGGCGATGAGAGGCCTTGCTCTGGGAACAGACAGGGCACGCGGCAACATACTCTCACATCCTTGATCATGGCGGGCCACCAGAACCGTTGCTGTTGAAAACTCAGGGTTTGACCGCTGCCTGGGTGGCAGGTAAGTTGAGGTATGTCCCCAGTGGATGACCCGAGACCAAAGCGACTTGGAAACAAATAGGCGGTTAGGTGGGCAACCCTTGGGAACTCTTACCCTCTTGAGAGCACCCTTGACCTCTTCCTCGACTGCCCATGTTACTGCCTCAACTGTGCAAAAAGGGGGCAAAATGGTGGAAGGTGCGGTCAATGGAGCGTCCAGGTCAAATAGTCTGGAAAGGGCATCGAGTTTCGTGTTCTTGGATCCTGAACAATAAGAAAGAAGTTGAAATGGGTAAAGAATAAGGCCCACCTGGTTTGTTTGGAGTAGTCTCTTAGCTGATCTGATGTACTCCAGGTTCCTGTGGTCAGTGCAGACCAAAAACGGATGCTCGGTCCCCTCTAGTCAGTGCCTCCACTCCTCTAGGGCCAGCTTGACACTCTGCAGGGCAATTCAAATATTATAATGTCGTGATGGGTGAGGGCAATTCAAATATTATAATGTTGCCAGACAACGCCACCCTGTCAAGGATGCGTGGAGGAGGCAGGACTCAAACGCAGACTTCTTGGAAAGCAAAAGACTTTAATTGTCAAAAAGGCAAAAGCAAAAGGCCAAGGGGCAAAAACACACAGGAACCAGGGGAAAAACGGCAGACAGGAACTACGAACATCCACGACGAAAAACAATGACGCGACAAGTGACACAAGAGACACACGGCTTAAATACACAAGGGGGGTGCAGGTGATTAGACACAGGTGGAAGCTATTAGACGATCACAGGGGATGACAGGACAAGGCAGGAAGTGAAGTTACCCAGGGACACGAGTGGCAGAAAACTACAAAATAAGACAGGAAGTGAACCACACCGTGACACACCCAGGGAATTGTTTTAAATCTTCCAAACAAAACTAAGGGAAGGCACTCAGGTTCGTTGCAAATGAGGCAGAGATTTAATTTAAAACACAATGTAATTTTATTAAATTCACAGTTTAAAACAACGGTAAAAAAACCTCTTCACTCTGGGACAAGCAACGGGGGAACCAATCAGGGCCGAGACTTACGATGATGGACTGTCCAAATAAAAGGGGACCCTAGAAGCACCACACGTGAAACAACTAAAAGTGAAGCAAACTCAAACATGCAAAAACATAACATAAGAGGGACACCACCACCTGGGACACCAATCCACCACCGCAGACTCAGCACCTGAATGGGGGGGGAAGATGAGAGCAACCGGTTTAAAAATAAGAAACTGAACCAAAACAGAAAGAAAATAATTAGTTAACCAAAACTATACTAATAAAACACCGACAAACGGCTTATCCAAAACTTAACAAAATCACAAAACAACAACAAATTGACAAACAAACAGACAAATAACAAAGGATCCAAACAAATAAGTAAGGCCTGTCTCTCGTACACAGTTAAAATGTGTCTTGACCCAGTTAGGAGGCCAAAACAAAGCAAACTCAAACAGGGTAAACACAGCTAAAAGTAAGGCAGACCCAAACGGGGTTACTTTAACCAACACAAGGCAAGCAGTTTAGCCAAAAGGCAAAGCAACAGGGTTAATTTAACAAAGCAAACCCGAACAGGGTTAGTTTAACGAAGGAAAAGCAAAGCAGTTTAGCCAAAAGGCAAAGCAGCAGTGGTCTCTGGCAGGTTAGCGGGTGTAGAGCTGAGGCTCAATGATCCTTGCCCTGCAGAGGAAAACAGACATAGAGCCTTACTATAGCTGGAGGAGGGAGCTAAAGCCACTGCGCTACATACCGGTCAGGCCGCTTCAGACAATCAGCGTGGGTCGGAGGGATCGACGCTACCACGAGAATTACTAACGGCAGACATTAAGTGCATCAGTTGGAGAATAGTATGCAGCCATACCAGTGAGCTTCTGGGACACAAAAGACACTTAAATGAGCACTGGACGGACAACGTGGGAGGGAATACAGTTGCTGGCGACAGCCTACCTGTCACCACACAGAGCAGCGGGAAAGACCCCAGGATGTGTTGTAACCCGAGCCTTTGGCAAATGAAATGCAGACAGGTGCTCTGAAGCCGCCTTTCACCCCGGACAAAAACTGTTTGTGCCCCTTCCATCTGGCAGGAGGCTGAGGTCCATCAGGACTAAGACCTCCCGCCACACGAACAGTTTCTTCCCGTCGGCAGTCGGGTTCATCAACAGAGCCCTGTCCCCCCACTGACTGACTGACATATAACATTCCACCGGTCACTCCCCTTCACACTGCACATGTCACTTTAACTGTAATTCATCACTTTGTCGTCACTCGTCACTTTGTTACTTGTTCGTTAGTGCACTTTATGCTTAATATATCTTTTTTAAACTTTAATATTTAAAATGTTTAACTTTATTCCCTTGTTTTATACTAACCCATAGCCTTATTATACTAACCCATTGCATTAGCATTTAATTTTACTTTATTTTATTACTTGTGCACTGCTGTCTTTTGTCTATTGTCACATTGTCTACTGTCGCACACCAACCGCCAAGACAAATTCCTTGTATGTTTGGCATATTTTGGTAATAAATGTTTCCTGATTCCTGATTTATACCCCATTGTCATGCAGCGATTGGCTGTGGTCCAGACCCAGCTGAAAGTTATTAGGACTAATCACTGCATACTGCCACATTAGCAAACCCCAGCAAACTCTGCAATTGCTTGCGAGTTCAGGTTGCAGGGTTGCAGGGTTGATCCGCACACCCCCTGAGGACACAATAAAGCCCAGGAATGACATCTCTGGGACATGAAATACGCACTTCTCTGCCTTGACGTAGAGATGATTCTCGAGCAGTCTATGGAGGACCAGTGAGTTAGCCACAAGGGGTTGAGGAAGGGGCTCCGTAGTCAGCCCTAGTTCCTTAGGCAAACTGTAGTCCATAAAGCTGGCGTCAGCCCCAGAGTCCATGAAGACTGACAGACTCAGTGACTGGGTAGCGGTGACCACCCGGGCACGAGTAAGAGGTCTGGATTTTGGAGGTTCGGACATGGCGGAGCTCACCAGTATCCTCCGATCTACTGATGAGCCCTGTCTTTTACTGGGCAATGGGCTAGGAGATGGCCAGGTTGTCCACAGTAAAAGCAACTCCCCTCTTTGAACCGGCGTTGTCGCTCGCCGCGGTACAGGACAACTGCATCGGCTCAATAAAGACAGCACTTGCTGACGCACCGCCTCGGGCAACTGTAACCTCGTGGTGTTCTCCATGGGCAGGGCCCGATGAAAAATCTGCGTATGTCTGGCAGATCGGTGACTGTTTAGCCCATTCAGCTGTGGCCCATTCCCGAGCTCTGCCAGTCAAGTGGGTAATGACTGTGGTCACCCTTGCTCTCTCTGTGACGTATAGGATAAAGGATTCAGTTCAAACAGTAGTGAGCAATTTGTCAAAAAAGAGCGACTATATACAGGAAGTGCAGTGGTTACAAGAATAAAACAGGAAGTTAGTCTTATCCGTCTCTCCGAGTCGTCACAGTACCCCTCCCCCCCTGACCGAGCCCCAGCATGCTCAGGAAAACGTTGGAGAAATCCCTGATGAGGGATGGTTTCATGAGATTGCCCGCAGGCACTAACGTAAGATGGGTCGCAAGACAAAAGAGAGCCTGAATCTCCTCTGGCGCTTTTTTTTTCATAAATCAGGTGAAAAGTCTCAAATTCAACATCCTCTGACTGACTAAATATCTTATTTTGTTGTCCCAAAGTTTATGATTTATTAATGTTTAGGCCTTTTTTGGTGTTTAAATCACTGACGTGAATTCACACTTTTAATTTTGATTACCTTTGTTGTGACATCCTCCTTTCTGACGGACTTTGTAATTTCTCACAAAGAAAACGTTGACTGTCATCTAAATACTTAGTGCTCTTTGGAGTCACTAGCTCATGTTATAGTGGTGAAGCTTGACATCGTTCATAGAAGATCACAGACACCTCATAGTGCAAGAAAAAATGATTGTCATTTAAGATTCTGTTAAATGAACAATACACCAGTGACCAAGATATGTACTGACTGCATGCAAATGCTATCTGGTGGACAAACTATAATAACACAATGTTCTTAAATGACCTTTAACATGTCTGTACTCCCATTTCGCTTATCAGCAAATATATAAATTAATACAAACAGTATCTGCTAAGCTTCTATTGGTTGATGAATCACAAATTGTCTTTTCACTACAAACACACTCAAAGGATTCTTCTTCCTGCGGATCATACTTCACATATATGGACTTAAATGTATTTTATTTTCTGAACAAAAATGAAGTCATGTACATTCTTTGCAGAGGGTGTTGATTAAAATATCCAGATGGGACACTTAAAGATTAGTTTCAGTTTTAGGGGTTAAGTAGACAATACTTAGTCATTTTCAAGCTGTAAAAGCTACATGTGGATCCTGTGTTTAAGTCCGTTCTCCTCAGTGTTTCCCTCCCGTTAACAATAGTTCTTACTGCAGTAATAGTCTAAGGGCCTTGACCCGGGTATTGTTGTATCCATAGCAGAGACAAATTATTGTTTTGTTATTATATTATTATAGGTTGTGTTTAGGTTAAGTTAAAGGGTAACAGACTAAGACAGGACATGTGTAAAGTCACAGCGGCTTTATTAAACCTATTCCAATAGAAACCGATGTGGGAACAAAAACACCCATGTTGTTAGAGCCTGAAAGACTTTTTAACCCTCAAAGGTTTCATCTTACGTTGGTCCGTACCGATGACATTTCTTCTCACAAGGGCCACGGCTCTCATTTTGATCTCTTTGGTTTTCAAAGAATAGACTATTGGATTGATGCAGGGTGGGATGCAAGAGGCCAGCGACAGGCTAAGCACACGCTGGTCCGGGTCAGTCAGACGCAGAAAAAACCCAAGAGTGAAAATAGTGATGATAGGAACATAAAATACAGCAACAAGGATGACATGCTCAGTGCAAGTGGCAAGAGCTTTAACTCGACTGTCCAAAGATTTCATTCTAAACACTGTCACCAGGATAGTGACATAAGACAGGATGATAAAAACAAAGGGTCCTCCGAGTATCATGAAGGAGAGAAAAGAGGCTGCAGACCACTGCATTGCGTAATCGTTACAGGCAAGTCTGAACACAGGTGCATAGTCACAGAAATAGCTGAACACTCTGACAGATTTACAAAATGAGAGCTGAGTCATTATACCTGTTGAAAATGCTATTACTCCCACAGAAAAAGACCAAGTAAAGCCAATAATACAAGACATGCTCTGCAAAGTGTTGACTGAGTTGTGACGTAAAGGGAAACATATTGCAATCAACCTGTCGTAGGCAAGTATAGCAAGTGCAAATGACTCCATAGATGCAAAACAATAGTAGGAGAACATTTGTACCAAACACAAGTTGAATGGAATGAAATTGTCCTTAACGAGGAATATCTTTACCATGCCAGGAATAGTAGTCGTGTTGAGGACTATATCAATTACTGCGAGGTTGATCACAGCCAGAAATTTTGGAGAATGTAAGCAGTGATTGAAAGCAATGACATAGATCACCAAACTGTTGAACATCACTGTAACCACGTAAACAAACGATAGAAAGATGAAGTAGACACTAATGAAGGGTAATGTCTCAAATCCGACTATGTAGAAGCCTGGAGGACGAATGATGAGAGAGTTGTTTAAAGAAGTCCTGAGAAAAGTCATAGTTGAACTGGAGGAAGGCCTCTGCTTAAAAGCTCCACAGTCTACAGAACAGTGAAATCAAGTTATTACACATTAAACCTCAACAGTGACAATAAAACACATGAATAAATGTTCTTCCTCTTGACTAAGCACATGAAAACATAGCAATATGCAACACCAGTAAGTTCACATATATCTACATGTGCTAAAAAACAATCAGCATAAGCGTCGTACCTGATGTTCTCTCAGTGGTTGTTCAGCAGCAGCTTGATTTGATGCTGAGTCTAAGAGCAACAAACCGATGTCCATGTGTCTGAACTGTGTACGGTGAAAAATATACGTTCCTCATTGATCTCTTGAGATAAAGCTTTCAGCTGTTGCTCAGGGGACATCATTTAACAAGACTCTATTGATGCAATAATTGATCAATCAAAACAAAACTGAGGATTGTTTTGAATAATTTGAATGATCAAAATATACATATATTTAAGTCAGAAAATTTGTTACATGAAAGTATCTCTCCCTCTCTCTCTCTCTCTCTCTCTCATATGTACAGTATAAATATATATATATATATCGCAAAGCAAATGATTGTCCTTTAAGATTTTATTAAATAAACGATACGCCAGTGACTAAGATATCTACTGACTGCATGCAAATGCTCTCTGGTGGACAAACTATAATTAGACAATGTTCTTAAATAACCTTTAACATGTTTTCAGCATTTCTGTACTCCTATTTTGCTCATCAGCAAATATAGAAATTCATACCGTCTCTGCTAAGCTTCTATTGGTTGTCTTTTCACTATGTTTTACCTTTCTTTTTGGCTGGGTAGTAACCAGTGGTGAGGGGGTTCAGAGGCTTGGCAATCTTAGAATAACCCTCTTCAAAACACCTATAATACCCCGCAAAGCCAAGGAAACGTTTCAACTCTTCTGTTTTCAGGACGAGGCCAGTCTTTCAAAGCAGAGATCTTGTCTGGGTCAGTGTGGACTCCTCGGGCATCTACCACATGACCAAGGTATTTCACAGACGACTTAACTTTTGACGTGCCAATTTTAGACCATTATCCTGAGGCGGTGCAAAACTTTCATGAGCCTTAACTCATGCTCTTCTAGTGTATCAGAAAAGACGAGGTCATCCAAGAATACCAGCACCTCGCTGAGATGGAGATCGCCAACACACCTTTCCATTAAACGTTGAAAGGTGCGTTGGTCACACCCTGTGGCATCCGGTTAAACTCGTAGAATCCCAGAGGGCAGGTGAATGCAGTCTTAGCTTTATCCTCTTCTGCCATTTCCACCTGATAATAACCAGACTTGAGGTCCATGACAGAGAACCACTTTGCTCCACTTAGGGCCGAGAATGTCTCTTCAATGTTGGGAAGGGCATATGCGTCTTTTATGGTGCAAGTATTCAGTTTCCTGTAATCAATGCACAGCCGGATTTTTCCATTCTTCTTCTTGACCAACACTACCGGTAAAGCGAAGGGGCTTTCTGACTCTCTTATTATACCAGCATCCAAGAGCTCCCTAAGCTGCTGTTTCACCGCCTCCCTGTCACAGGGGTGTATTGGTCTTGAGCGCTCTTTGAAAGGTGTCTCATCTTGCAAGCGAATGTGGTGCTTCACGGAAGTTGTTTGACCAAAAGAAAGTCTGTCGACAGCAAAGACCTCTGGGATCGAATTCAGTTTGTCTGCTATACGCTGCTTCCACTCTTTGGAAACAGGTGAGTTGTCAAGGCTGGAGGTAATCAGCTTACTCTGTGACTCACAGCTGGTGGGCAGAGACTGATTGGGGCTCAGGGGTTTGACACTCTGAGCAGGAGAGACTTCGCCAATGACACACTTTGGGGGCAGAGTGACATTGTGATCTGTCATGTTTTTCAGAACAACAGGGACCTTGTTTGAGGCCGTACAATGGATATTCATTAATGCACACTCAAGAAGTACACCACCAGGTAGAGGAGAGGATTCATGTGGCTCTAGAATGAAGGAGGTATGTTGGTTAGCCCCCCCTACCCTAACATCTCCAAAAACACACATTGTGTGCCTCACTGGAATGGTGATGGTTTTTCTCCCATGCAACTTCACAGGACAAGGTTCGGTTTTACCTTCATGGATCTGGGCAGCATGCTGGAGAAGTGATGCAAAGCAGTCTGAACTATTTAAAAAATCTGGGCCACTATGATCGACTCCACGTTGGTGAAGCTGCAACAAAACATTGGTGCCAACTAACAATGGAATCTTGCTGTTAAAATGACACTCCGGGACAATGAGGGCTAGAGTAGTCAGCTGCTCTTCTGTACCAGTCACACTGTCAGGGAAAGTTAGGAGAACTTCAATATATCCAAGATAGGACACAGGCTGACCTCCGGCCCCTTCGACCTCAAGCAGATCATGGATGGGTTGAATTGGAAGGGATGCTAAACATCTGGAATGAAAAGTTTCAGAGATTGTCGTGACCCGAGACCCTGTATCAAGGATAGATTCACATTTTATATTTCCTACAGAGACTGTAGAAACGCAGCGGGGGGCCTACAAGCGCAGGAGGAAGGATGTGGCCAAGGCCACCACTGCCTTCGGGGGCTTTGGCTCTCGTCTCTTTTGTCACTTCATGGGTCATTGCTATGGGACTCTTTGTTGAGATTCTCAGCTCCTGGGCATCCCACAACCAGGAGCTGCTAACAGTTTAAAGAGAGTTTATGGGCTTCCTGCTGGGCCTTGAATCTTTCACGTTTGTCTCGAAGCTCTGCATTCTTCCTCCTGACAAGGGCAGGAATAGGTTCATTAGTACAGTTCGCTACAATGTGGCCATCCTCTCCACACTTAAAGCAGAACCATGGTCTGGGAAAGGTTGGGGTCCGGGACATTGATTCCGGATTTGTGACACGAGCTAACAAACTGTCACTCTTCATGGGTGATTCCCTCCCCATAGAATAACTGATGGGCTCATTCTGTGTTGATTCTGTCCTCTCCCTCTGTACTAGGAGTGCTACTTGTTTACGGAGTTCAGCCACCTCCATTTCAAGTTTTGAACTTGCTTCCGGCTTCATCACAGCAGTGGCAGCAGGTTCATCAAACACTGGCATGTTCAAGACAGAGCGAACGTGTGTTGCAGCCCTTGTGCTTAGATGCTTTCTCATGCGGTCAACTTTTGATGCTCGCCTGTCCTCTTCTGTTCTTAAAAGGAGCAGTAGTTCTTGGAAAGGTGGTGGATTGTCTTTACGATGCTCAAGCTGAAGGCAAAGGAGTAAACTCTGGTCCCAGCATCCCCTGCAGAATTGCCGGAGTAAATACTTGTCAGACTGTTCGCCACAAACTCCTCCTCTAGAGATGGCTTTAGTCAGGAGAGTTTGAAGTCGATTGAGGTAGGTGGAGGGCTTCTCTCCTGAATTTTGATTTGAACCCAGATATGTCGCAAATAGCTCTTCGCTATCTTCCACCACTCCAAATGCAGATTCAAGCTGGGTGAGATAAGCATCCGGGGGTTGCATTGGTGCCAAGTGGCCTGACAATATCAGCAGCTGGACTGAACAGGCTCTCCAAATTTCTCCTCACCTTTTGAGTATCAGACAAGGAGGCATCAGCGAGGAGTAGGTCCACTTGGGTTCACCAGGCCTCATAATCCACCTCACCATTTGCCTTGGGCAGCCGTCCAGAAAAGCTTCGGATTCTGCTCTGACTATAACTGGATGGGGTTGTGTCATTACAAATGAAGTGTTCAACAATGACTTTCTGAACATGGCGCAGATTGATTGTACTCTCATTAAGATGAGGGGGATTCATTTTGTCATTATTTCCGTTGTCATGGGTGGGAACAGGACCATGCTGGTCAGGAGGCTAGAGGTTTGTATCAGGACTTTAAGGTCGGGCTGATCATGTTGCAACTCACTCTGAAGCGCATCCCAAAAGCCGGCCTTACTACTGCCCGCAAAACTACTCAGTTCAGCCAAGCATTTCTTGGCTAATTCTCTGCCAAGCTCTTCTTGACACATCTGGCGAATAGTCCTTACACACCATGTAACAGTGGGATCATCAGGGCTTTGCACGTCACCTAGGCTTGCAGGATCAAGCCTTGAAATGGCTCTTTCTGAAGAGTATTGTATCAGAGTGCGCCCCTTTGGCTGATTGTGTTCATTAGGCACCCTCACAATTGTCACAATATCACCATTTGCTTTAAAGTAGGCTGTTAATTCCTCATCGGTATAAGTTTCATTTATGCCTGTAATGTAAAGGCAGCTAGGCCCATGCAAGTCAAATTTGTTGCAAATATCCATTTTTTTATGTCACTATCTTGTAAAATTTGTGTAGTAGTAACATGCACAACCATACAAAATCAAATATCCGTCCCAAAAATGTATTTTACCTGTACTACGTAATTTGCTTAAGTGCACATCGGGGTGGAATCAAAATAAATTTGCACCATTCTCCTGGCTGGCTCGCCACTTTTGTAACCCCTCCCCTGCAACTGTCGCTTAGAAACAGTGCAGAATATACAGAATATAGGGGGATATTCAAATTCAATCCAGGTTCGATGAGGAGACTGGTGAGTATTCAATTGGAAACAGGAAATGTCCACCCCAAATTACGCTTAACACAACAGATTTATTTATAACACAATTAGACAATCATTTCTGCAGCAACTGCACGATTCCACACATCAAAAGAATGTCCAACCAGGTAATATAAAAAATAAAGAAAACCTCTGAGATCTCAGGAATAAGTTTGATCGGGTAAAACCGTATAAAAGGAGTATAGTCCAAAAAAATGGTGTCCTACCACCCTTCTGTGCACAACCAAAGTCAAGTCAAAGGGACTCCAGGCGCACTGTGACGTCCGATGTGAGGGTCCTCTTGGTGGTGGATGGATGCAGATGTAGTGGCAGACCGGACAGTACTTCTGGTTCCAGTGATGGAGCTATCCAAAAAAAAACAGCCTACGCACACGTGCAGGACAACAATTCAATACCGATCCAACTAGGCCTGCAAGCCGCATGGCTAAAACATCACACACAATATAAAAAGTAATTAACATTAGCACCTCAGGGCATTCAATTATATAAATTACACATTCATAAATGTACCTTTGTACCCCTTTCTAATTCCCTTCCTGACTGGTTTTAATACAATAGACAACTTTAAAAAAAATACAAAATATCGTTGACCATTCTTGCTAACACAGCTAACGGTAAACGCATCGAACTTCTGTCAACTCAGTTGTTAATTTTTCGATGAATCATAGGTTTTCTGCTCACTCTTAACTTACTTCAGTAAAACAGTCGGCGGAGAAAACAAAGATCGTCTATATAGAGACAGATGATCACTTAAATAAATCTCCGTGCATGGAATGACAAAGATTGACTATTAAGGAAAAGATGAACTCTTTTCCTGGTTAAACAGGGAAAATGTTACAACTTATCAACTTTACGTGTGAACAGTGACGCATTTTCAAACCCTGGTTACAACTACAAACACACTTAAAAGTCCAGGTGAGGATTTTATCATACTTTTATTTTCTGAACAATAATTAAGTCATGCAGTCTTTTCAGAGGGTCTAGTGAGTTCAGCTGGGTGCAGACTTGCTGGCGGTTGGCTGCTGCTGTTGCTGCTTCATCAACTGTTGTTTTTGTGCAATTTGGAAATTCATCATGCAGTCTTTGAAAGTCTTGACGTGGCTCTGGCACAAACGCCAGTCCTGGTGTTCAGCCATGCACTCCTGCACAGCGTAGTGCAGCTCAGCACAGCCGGTGCGTGATATCATCTGCTCAACGGGGTCATCCTCGTCCTCGTCTTTACGTCTGCGGTCATGGGGTGAAGGGGGGGCCATCCTGTTTCGATGAGCTGTGCCGACTCCGTCGGTCTGTTTAGGACAACACACAACGTTGTTGTCATGTTAAACGAGGGATGGTGACGTTTCAGAAACAACCACACAACTTCCCCAGCTGTTAAGGGCCTGGACACAGGGACATCTCTAAATCTCTGGCTGTCAAATCTGTAGTGGTTTATTTCTTTCTGTCAAACTTTTGAGAAGACACACTTAATAAGACACTGATGAATATTTTCAGTCAGTGGGTTGAATTCCCATTATAATCATCGCCTTGTATTATTATTTATTGTTTAAGGTGTAGACTGTAAATGTATCCCGTCTCGTAGGGCACTTCCACTTTGAGAAAGTGTTTGTTTTGCGTTGTATAACTATTGAGACATTTGATTTTTATATAGTTAACAGAGTTTTTATTTTTATTTTAGACACACAAAACATGGGATTATAAAATGCGACCAGTTGAAAAGTAGCGTTAAGTTAATGTCACATGGGTTAGCTTTAGCTTAGCTAACGTCATCGAACACAAGGACAGCGTACACGTAAACGTCCACACACAATTCGCCTCCATCGCTCTCACCAGTTTATTCTCTTTAGGGAAATCGGCCTGTCACTGAAACTACGTTTTCCATAACCTGCTTCTCGTAACCAGCCTCGGAGGCGGCGCCGGAAGCGCACCGTGGGGGACACATTTGAGCAGAGCACGTAGGTGTAATCGCTAAATAGTTCCGTCGATACCTGTTCCGCCTTAGAAAGTTAATTACAAAGAAGCCATTCTTTAAATGTATCCATGAAGAAATTAACGTGCAGATGAAAGTATTGTTCAAAGAAATGCAGATGCTACATGGACCAAGGAGAGAATTCTCAATCAAAGATACACATTGAAGCCTCGAGATGAAAGGAAAGGTTCTCTGGGTAACAGCTTGTGTTGTATATGTTGTTCTACAATACGTATTTGTGTAATATACATATGGTTCAAGCACCACATGTCCATTGAACACGTTTTAAAGTGATAATAATTCTTAAAGCGTGTTAAAAATGTTGTCTATTCACTAAAGAAAATTATTTGAGTACTTTGTTTGCAAACTAAAAGCTAAACAAACCAAAAAATCTTTATCTTTAGGCCTATTATCTCAGATAATATTAAGACTCACGCATGTAGCAAATGTTTCAAAGGAAATAAAGACAAAGACAGTTTGTTTTTTAAATACTTTGACCATTTATTTGAAAATATTATGACTCAAATCACATATGATTTGTGTTGGTCACTTATGTTTTACCTCTAACTTGTTTATCCCCTGTGCTGTATAAAGTAAAGTCTAGTAAATAATATAGATACTATTCTGCTTTAACTTTTCTACTTTGTTTTTATATAAAAAGAGTAAACAAAGACAATACATTAATGACTCTTCTATTGCGCAATGTTCCCGGAGGATTCATTTCAAATTAAAAAGCCTGTGGTGAGCCAAAGGAAAGTAGTTCTAATGAGCCCAGTTTGTGTTGCCAACACAGGAGAATTCTGGTTAATTACCTTAACATTAACAAACAAAGCTATTACTGTACACACTTCAGACTAATTAATCTCAGTTGCCCCAATAAGGAGTAAAGACAATTAAAAATGAGGGGAAATTACACCTGCTTTTAAAGGGCCCCAAGAGAGATGGTAGAAGTTGTTTCCTTGGCACTCCACCAACCGTCGTCTGACTACCTTTTGTTTCAATGAATAAAATGTTTAGGCCCTCAACTAATTGTCTTTTCTTTGTTTTGTAAGTTGTAGGCTTCTTAAAGGACTTACAAATACCAACTTTCATTTAGACTCTTAACTGATTTGAATTTACCAGAGGTTACCATACATTCCTTGTTAGCTTTTTAAGCCCATGTCCTGTTTGACTTTATAACGCTGAAGCCCAGTCTTAATTATACACGTTATTTCAGTGAATTTCGTGATTGTAATTGATTTATTCAGACTTAACATGGTGCTCACTTGAATCATTCACATATGTAGAGTTAACACTTATTGATAATGCGTCGACTTTCAGGCTACTGACACACTTTTCTTTTCTCAAGAGCACATACACAGCAGTTAGTATCCATTCATCCCGTTTCTATAAGGGGCATGATCCAGTTTTACTAGTTTTATTTTTCTTATACATTTTTTAAATGTCATAAAGCAAAAATATTCTTCCAACAGAGTGATAACATAATAAAAGTGTACATATCTGTGATTAATACAGTTAATTTCTGTGCACACAGAAAATAACTTTTTCTCTCTTCCAAGTCTTAATACATAAAAAAAACAGAAGTCAAACTGGATTTTCACCTGAAGTAATGTCCCCCTTTTGTGGCGCAATTTTCTCTGAGGACAAGGTGTGCTGACCTTATTTCTTTTTGTCACGGACTGGTTTTAATTCTCTGAACCAGTGCCAGAGCTCTGGTTTTAATCTCTCTGGTCTTCAAAGAATATACAATCGGATTGATGCAGGGTGGGATGCAAGTGGCAAGTGACAGGCTCAAGACACGCTGGTCTGGGTCAATGGATCGGACATAAAGCCCCATTAAGAATATGGTGAATATAGGAATGTAAAATATAGCAACAAGGATGAGATGCTCAATGCAAGTGGCAAGAGCTTTCATCCTATTGCTTACTGATTTCATTCTGAACACAGTGGCCAATATGCTGAGGTAAGACAGAATAATAACAGTAAAAGGGACCATCAGATTCACCATACTAGAAGTTGAGGCTATTGACCAATGCAATGTGTAATCATTGCAGGCGAGTCTGAACACAGGCGCATAGTCACAGAAATAGCTGTTCACTCTGACAGAATTGCAAAATGACAGTCGAGTCATGATCGCCGTGTCATGTGCGATTCTTCCCAGATTGTAAACCCAAGTCCCGCCCACAATACACAACATGATGGGCAGTGTGTTGAATAAATTCTGGCGCATAGGTAAACATATTGCAATGAACCGGTCGTAGGCAAGTATAGCGAGTGCATATGACTCCATAGATAAAATAGCATAGTAGAAATACATTTGTACCAGGCAGAGGTTGAATGGAACAAAGTTGTCCTTAAAGAGGAATACCTTAATCATGCTGGGAATAGTGCACGTGCTTAAGATTACATCAATTACTGCAAGGTTGAAAACAGCCATGAATTTTGGAGTATGTAAGCAGTGATCACGAGCAATTAAGGAGATCAATAAAATATTGAAGACTAGGGTAACCGCATAGACAAAGGCAAGAAAGATAATGTACACACTGATGTAGGGAAGTGTTTGAAATGCAATGATATAAAATCCTGGAGGATGAATGATGGCAGAGTCATTTAAAACAGTCCTGATGGAAGACATAGTGGAACTCCACAGACTGCAGCGTCTGCTCAGAGAGAGAGAGAGAGAAAGAAACACATCTTAATACTTATCTTTCCTTTTTTTTGTTGTCATTATGAATGCACAATTTTATTGTATTCATGAATCATTAAAAAACAAGTATTAACAAAGTACTTCAAAATGACACACATGCACATGCCAACTGTGTGATCATTGTAATAATATAATGTACTCACATTGTAGTGGACTCCGATGTCGTTCTACGCACTGTAGCTTCAGATCCAGCTCACTCCAATAGTAGCCGTTGAACGTCTGCATGTCAAACCTGCTTATGTTGGAAGTTATAACCTCTTCATCGATTAGTCTCCAGAGATGACATGCAGTCATCTCATTAAGACCATATGGATCAATCATACAATAACAATAACAAGCAGTGTCAGAAATCCAAGGTTACCTAGCAATTACCTTTACATTTGAGACTGGTATGTATTGAGAGACCTGTCAATCAAGGGTGGGTGTGACCCCTGTTTTAATTTATCAGGGTTTTTAAGGAACATCTAATGGCTATAAATATAAGTATTCTGTTGGTGTGATGCAAACATGATTTTAGGGCAACATACTGAAACTTTTTTGTAGTTTTCCTAGTTTGGAGTTTAAAGGTGGACAAAAAAAGTGTTGGAGTTGTACTATACTTAATATAACTGTCATCCTGTTTTGGGGAGGAAATAGCCACACATTTGTAAATATTCATACCACATGAATGCTGTGCTCACAAAATCGTATTTAAATCTCGACAAAATGGAAAACTGATTAATGAAACCTGCTCAGAAGTCTCTTGACCAGTCGCGTCTCCCAATCATCCTCAGGTAAACCAGAAACTGTGCTCTTCAAGGCCCTATAGATATTTTGTGAAAGAGAAGACAACATTGCGGCAGTTATTGAACAGTGGACTGATATGGGCTGGATGGACGAGGCAGGAACCCCCGATAAAGGGCAGTTTCCTGGCCTCCTTCCCCCCTCACAAGCGCCGTGATTCTTCATTACCTTTTTCGTCGAAGCAATTGGACTCTTTTCCCCATCAAAATGTACCCGATCCTAACATGACCTGTTGCAAACACCCGTCCCCCCCTTAACTTTCCTTTGCGTAAGGGTCTCGCCCGACGCGTTTTAGGTTTTAAATGCATGAAATAAGATAAAACCATGTCAATTTGTTTATTGCATCAAGGCTTTTTGACTCTTTCAGGAATCTCTATTTCGACGAAATGAAACGCAAACATTTCTTTTTCACTGACCTTTGTGTGGAGTCCACAGAAATTATTATATCACATGAAATGTGTGTTTCTATGACAGTGTAAGAATATACATGACATTTTGTGTACAGTGTTTGTACAAAGTGGATCAACGGAGAGAAACCCATGTGCTTTCATTGCACCAGCTATGTGTGGCGTGATGTACCACCAGTGTGCGTTTATCATTGGTGAGACAGAACAAAGTTGTTCTAATGAGCCCAGTTAATGATGCAATCACCAGTGGATGCTGCTTAATGACCTTTGCAATAACAAACACAACTTTTAACGCATACATTTGAAATGAATAATCTCCAATGCACCTACAGTATTAAATAACGTAAGATTGGTCGCAAGAGAAAAGACAATCTGAATCTCCTCTGCTGCTTTTTTTTTTCATAAATCAGGTGACAAATCTTGAATTCAACATCCTCTGAATGACTAGATATCTTATTTTGTTGTCGCAAAGTTTATGATTTATTAATGTGTAGGCTTTTTGGGGGGTTTAAATCACTGTTACGTCCCCTTTTTGGGACTGTGTCGGTGGGGTGGGGGGGGGGGGGGCACAGGACAGTCAAACAATATGTGAAAAGACAAAAGTAGGAGTAACGGTTTTTTAAAAAGCTTTTATTAAGTGGGAGAGGTTGCGACAGTTGTGGTTGTGTTGTTAAACTTAAAATCACTTTATTTATTAAATATAAAATGAAATGAAATAAAAAGAAGTCACAAGAAAAAATTCATATTCATATAAAATTCATATATTGTCTACGAGGGTGGTTCACTTAAATCACTTTCTTTATAAAATATAAAATGAAATTAAGGCTGCAAGCAGCGTTGGACGGGTCCTCTCTACTCCACACGTCGGGGCACCTGCCGGACGGCTGGAAACGCAGCAAGAACCCCTGCGGCATCTGATTAATTTGCGAGGATAAAGGTATCAATCAATAGTTACATAATAATTACACTTCAGGTTGATAGTAAAACCACCTCCGGGTGTCACTCAGTGATTATCAGGACATTCTGATGTACCCTTTTAAAGTTAAAGCCACTCAAAATGTCATATATAACAAACACACTTCCTTCAAAATCTTTCACCAGTTAACTTCTGGTCAAATTCTGATTAGATTTAAAAGGAAACTAGCTATAGTTATATGATAATTTTACATCAGACGGATAGTACACATCACCAAGGTGTCCTTCAGAGATAACCAGGACATTCTGATGTACCATTCCAAAATTAAAGCCTCTCAAAATACCATACATGAGCCAAATTCCTTCAAAATCCTTCACGTGACTATTTCTGGTCAATTTCAGATTAGATTTAAAAGGAAATGATCAATGGTTACACGATAACTTCACTTCAGATTGACAGTGCATGCCCCCAAGGTGTCACTCAGTGATAACCAGGACATTCTGATGTACCATTACAAAATTAAAGCCTCTCAAAATACCATACATGAGCAAAAATCTCAATCACAAGACTACACCTAATCAATTTCAGATTAGATTTAAAAGGGAAAAAAATCAATAGTTACACAGTATTTCCATTTCAGGCAGAGAGTACACATCGCAAACGTGTTACTCTGTGATAATCAGGACATTCTGATGAACCATTTTAGAAATTAAAGCCTCTCGAAATGCCACCTTTGTTTTTTACTGGATACTAGAACATTTGACTTCCTGTTACCAGTAGGTGGAACTATGACTTTTATTAAACTTTACATCTCTTCAGGCCCAGAGTCTCATCAAACATGTGTAAATTGGAAATAATACGATGATGTGGAGTAGAGTTACAACGGTTGTTCTCGGCGAAGGATCAGCTTTGCCGATGCACCATCTCGCCACCGATTATCGGATTTGTATAATATTGACAGTGAAGCATTATCAAGGTCTTAACTCTCTGCTAAGAGATTTTGAGAGGGATCAGATTAACCTTTGAAGAGCATAACCTGTGAGGGGCAGGGTGTAAAATAAAAAACATTCAACTTCCTGTTGCTAACAGGTGGTGCTATAAGGTTAAAAATGATCATATGGATGTCTACAGGGTGAGAAGTTCATGCTATATGAGAAATAATGGAGCAGATTAGATAAAGTATGGTTGAGTCAAAACAACTTCAAAGAAGGGACTGGGAACTTGCACCCAAAGTTATCGAAAGGTCACTTTTCAACCGGCTCGATCATTTCCCAAGACTTTCAGGAAAAGAACACATAAAGCTACATGAACTAGCCGACCTGTTAATGGAGGTGCAGGGAGCCAAGGAGGACGGCTACCTCCCAGGCCTGTCTTACCTGGACACCGCAAGAGGGATCGAACCCATAGTTGCAAAACTGCCTTATGGTCTTCAAGAAAGGTGGGTATCCGCCGGTTCAAAGCACAAGGATGAAAATAATGGACGATTTCCCCCATTCGAGTTCTTTGGAAGTTTTATAAACTACGAGGCACGGAAAAGAAATGACCCTAGCTTCATTCTTCAAGGTACTATCAGCTTACCTGCAAGGCCTGAAAGGCCCTCCTTTAAAAGCAACCAAACCCCTATATTAGTTCACAAGATAGATATCGTCTGAACACACTCAAACAACCTAAAAGGTACCAGCGATCCAAACAAAACCTGTCCAATACATGCTAAACCCCACCCACTCATTGGACTAGGTCCTAGAGGAAAGAAAAAACTTCCTCAAGGCAAAAGGAATCTGCTTCAAATGCTGCGGTTCAACTACCCACTTGGCAAGGGACTGTCCAACTACAGTTAAGTGTACAGAGTGTGATAGCACCTACCACGACGCTGCTATGCATCCGGGTCCTGCACTTCAAGACAGGGCTCCCTCAACCTCACCACACAACGGCGGGGAGGGAGAAGAGAGCAGCAATTCCGAAGCTGTCGTCAGCGCAAGCTGTACCGAAGTTTGCGGAGCACGACAAGTCGGCAAGTCATGTTCCAAGATTTGCTTAGTGAAGGTATATCACAAACGTCAACCAGACAAAGCCATCAAGGCCTACGCCATATTGGACAACCAAAGTAACCGATCGTTAGCAAGGTCTAATTTCTTTGAGCTTTTCGACATTAAGTGCGAACCATATTCCTATTCGTTGAGGACGTGTTCCGGCACAACGGAAACATCTGGACGTAGGGCCGAAGAGTTTGTGGTGGAGTCACTCGACAGCAGGGTCATAATCCCTCTACCACCCCCTATTGAGTGCAATGACATTCTCGACAATCGGTCAGAAATCCCAACGCCAAACGCAGCTCTATGTCACCCTCACCTTCGCAAGGTAGCGGAACACATTCCAGACGTTGACCCCACAGCAGAGATTCTCCTGTTACTCGGCAGAGATATCATTAGAGGTCACAAGGTACGGGAACAAATCAATGGTCCACACAATGCCCCATTTGCCCAACGCCTAGATCTGGGCTGGGTGCTAGTAGGAGAAGTCTGCTTGGGGAACGCACACAAGCCTACAGTTAGCACCTTCAAGACAGCGGTGCTCGACAATGGCCGCCCATTGCTCCTTCGACCTTGCACCAGTTTTCTACAAGTCAAAGAAACAGTTCCTTGTAGCAGGGAGGCAAGACACATCTCCAGTAAGGTTACAGGAGAGGTGTTGGGACAAACTGTCTTCAATCACACAGAAAACGACAACAGGTTGGCATCCTCATTTGAAAACAAGGTTTACTTGAAGCTTTTCTTGAAGGACAAAGAAGTCTTCAGGAATGAGTCACAAAGTTGGGTAGCTCCACTCCCATTCCGACAACCAAGACAATACTTACCTAACAACCGGGAACAGGCAGCGCAGCGCTTTGCATCACTTCAAAGAAGCCTGAGTAGGAAGCCAGATACACAACAGCAGTTTGTAGCCTTCATGGGAAAAATATTGGAGAACGACCACGCCGAGGTCGCACCACCGCTGGCAGAAGTCACAGCAATTTTAAATGCGAGGCCACTAATCCCGGTTTCAAATGATCCCGAGGATTCATTCATGTTGTCGCCATCAATGCTCCTAACTCAGAAAGGGGGAGTCCCTTCCCCACCCGGGGATTTCACAGACAAAGACCTCCTCACCAAGCAGTGGAGACAAGTTCAATCGCTGGCCAACTGGTTCTGGAATTGTTGGAGTTGTGAGTACTTGCCCACCTTGCTTCGCAGGAGGAAATGGCACAAGTCTTACCAAAACCTTCAGGAGGGAGACATTGTCCTTCTTAAAGACACTCAAGTAGCCCGTAACCACTGGCCAACGGCTATAATCACAAAGACCTTTCCTGGAAAAGATGGGAGAGTGAGGAAAGTGGAATTAAGGACCACAGTTCAGGGATCTTCAAAGACTTTCCTCAGACCATACTCTGAAGTCATTTTACTTTTAGTTAAGGATTGATGTACACAAACACACTCATTTCCTAGTTTGGTGGTACTAGTAATCTCACTGAGGCCAGGCAGGGAGTGTATTGCCTTTTAGGCATTAGGCTTTTATTTTGTACAATCTTTTATTTTGAAATGGTTTTATGACTTAAGGGTTCCAGGGGTTAGTTTCCTGTTAGTGGTTAGAGAAAGATGGTAGAATTAGCCAACATGCTTTCGTCATCCATGGCAATCCACATCGTAAATGCTGCAGAAGAAATGTCGTAAGTTGATAATTTCATTGTTTTAATTGTAATGTCAAAGTTAAGATGCATATTTACAGTAAAAGGGGATATGATGACTGTAATTAGAAACGTTTTATTCACATATGTTTACGTAGGACTAAACAATTTTGTACCTTGTGTTTGTTACAGTTTTCACTCTTCTGTGTCTGTGACATGATATAAAGCGCCACAGATAACAGCTTGAGAAGCTTACTACGACTCAACTCGTCACTTGGAGGAAGAGTTTAGATAGTTGAATAGCCGCGGTTGCTACACCGTAGCGAAGACAACATAACTTCTATGAATAAATTAACGTGCAGGTGAAAATATTGTTCAAAGAAATGCAGATGCTACATAGACCAAGGAGAGAAGTCTCAATCAAACATACACATTGAAGCCTCGAGATGAAAGGAAAGGTTCTCTGGGTAACAGCTTAAGTTGTATATGTTGTTCTACAATGTGAATTTGTTAATATACATATGGTTCAAGCACCACATGTCCATTGAACAATTTTTTAAAGTATTAATAATTCTTAAAGCATGTTAAAAAATGTTGTGTATTCACTAAGGAAAGATTTGAGTAGTTTGTTTAGAGTTGTCAACGTTTGCAAACTAAAAGCTAAACAAACCAAAAAATCATTATCTTTAGGCCTATTATCTCAGATAATATTAAAACCAATCGACTCACGCATGTTGCAAATGTTTTAAAGGGAATAAAGACAAAGACAGTTTATTTTTTAAATGCTTTGACCATTTATTTGAAAAAATTCAAATCACATATGATTTGTGTTGGTCATTTATGTTTATCCTTTAACTTGTTTATCCCCAGTGCTGTACAACGTAGAGTGTAGTAGATAATATTCTACTTTAACTTTTCTCCTTTGTGTTTATATAAAAAGAGTAAACAAAGACAATACATTAATGACTCTTCTATTGCGCAATGTTCCCAGATGATTCATTTCAAATTAAAAAGCCTGTGGTGAGCCAAAGGAAAGTAGTTCTAATGAGCCCAGTTTGTGTTGCCAACACAGGAGAATTTTGGTTAATTACCTTAACTTTAACAAACAAAGCTATTACTGTACACACTTCAGACTAATTAATCTCAGTTGCCCCTATAAGGAGTAAAGACAATTAAAAATGAGGGGAAATTACACCTGCTTTTAAAGGGCCCCAAGAGAGATGGTAGAAGTTGTTTCCTTGGCACTCCACCAACCGTCGTCTGACTACCTTTTGTTTCAATGAATAAAATGTTTAGGCACTCAACTAATTGTCTTTTCTTTGTTTTGTAAGCTGTAGGCTTCTTAAGGACTTTAAACACCAACTTTCATTTAGACTCTTAACTGATTTGAATTTACCAGAGGTTACCATACATTCCTTGTTAGCTTTTTAAGCCCATGTCCTGTTTGACTTTATAACGCTGAAGCTCAGTCTTAATTATACACGTTATTTCAGTGAATTTTGTGATTGTAAATGATTGATTCAGACTTAACATGGTGCTCACTTGAATCATTAACATATGTAGAGTAAACACTATTGATAATGCATACTTTTCCATTTACCCCGTTTCTATAGAGGGCATGATCCAGTTTTACTATATATTTTTTTTTTTTAGACATTTTTGAAATGTCATAAAGCAAAAATATTATTCCAACAGAGTGATAGCGTAATAAAAGTGTACATATCTGTGATCAATACAGTTCATTTCTGTGTACACACTTTTTCGCTCTTCCAAGTCTTAATACATAAAAAAAACAGAAGTCAAACTGGATTTTCACCTGAAGTAATGTCCCCCTTTTGTGGCGCAATTTTCTCTGAGGACAAGGTGTGCTTGTCACGGACCGGTTTTAATTCTCTGAACCAGTGCCAGAGCTCTGGTTTTAATCTCTCTGGTCTTCAAAGAATATACAATCGGATTGATGCAGGGTGGGATGCAAGTGGCAAGTGACAGGCTCAAGACACGCTGGTCAGGGTCAATGGATCGGACATAAAGCCCTATTAAGAATATGGTGAATATAGGAATGTAAAATACAGTAACAAGGATGAGATGCTCAATGCAAGTGGCAAGAGCTTTCATCCTATTGCTTACTGATTTCATTCTGAACACAGTGGCCAATATGCTGAGGTAAGACAGAATAATAACAGTAAAAGGGACCATCAGATTCACCATACTAGAAGTTGAGGCTATTGACCAATGCAATGTGTAATCATTGCAGGCGAGTCTGAACACAGGCGCATAGTCACAGAAATAGCTGTTCACTCTGACAGAATTGCAAAATGACAGTCGAGTCATGATCGCCGTGCTGTGTGCGACTCTTCCCAGATTGTAAACCCAAGTCCCGCCCACAATACACAACATGATCGGCAGTGTGTTGAATAAATTCTGGCGCATAGGTAAACATATTGCAATGAACCGGTCGTAGGCAAGTATAGCGAGTGCATATGACTCCATAGATAAAATAGCATAGTAGAAATACATTTGTACCAGGCAGAGGTTGAATGGAACAAAGTTGTCCTTAAAGAGGAATACCTTAATCATGCTGGGAATAGTGCACGTGCTT